CAAGGCCAAGGCCTTTTCCTTTAGCAACAACTAGAAAGCAGTTGATACCATGCCATAGCTCAAATCATTCAAAAGTGATGTTACTAAAGACCATCTTCAGCGATTAAAAGATGATCCAGAAGTATCAATATATATCTTATTAAAGTACATGTAACAAAATGGAAATATGCCTATACACTCATTCTTCACTTATTAATGCTGTCACATTTGTAATATAGTTACAAAAGCTAGGTTGCCATGCAAAAATGGAGGATGATCACATCAGATCACAATGGTGAATGAGTCATTATGTAACTGTCAGGATGACATCATTATGGTATTTTTAGGCAAATAATACATGGGTTATAAATTCTAAATTTTTGCAAACTATGCTACCTCTTCAAGTGCTAGTTTTCTAAGCACATTATGCATATATATGCTGATATTTACATAAGTATGTAGTATGCAAAAAGTATTGCCTATGACTGCTAAGCCACATGAGAATCATGGTACAGCCAAGTTGACAGGTAAGTTTAATCGTCACAAGCATGACTCTTGCCTCACATCTCAATCCTTGTTATGTTACTGCCAGACATACGTTAAGGCACAAAATAACTGGCTATTTTTGCTATGGTCTTAAAATGTGAAATGTCAGCTAACAAGAGAGTCAAGTGAGGAGCAGGTATATAAAATTTCTCCAACAGTATTATAAGTTTCCAGAGGGCCAGGATGAGAACTTCTAAGTTATGTCCTTAAAATGCTCTATTCTGTGGGCCTTTGTGTGGGCAACTGGAGGACGGATGATCAAGCCCTGGAAGACAAGGTTCCAGAGTGCCTTCTTGCAGGCCCTGCTTAATTAATCAGTAAGAATGGTAACTGAGAAAAGGAGAAAAAAAGACTTAAAACCATTAGCCCATTACCACCACACCCTGCCAAACTCACTGCCATCAAGTTGCTTCCACCTCCTGGTGACCCTACAGGACAGACAAGAACTGCCCCCATGGGTTTCCGAGATTGTAACTCTTTATGGGAGCAGAAAGCCTGGGCATTTTCCCCAAGGAGTGGCTGGTAGTTTCGAACTACCCATCTTAACAGCAGTCCAACATGTAACCAACCACTAGCCACCAGGGTCCTCTGACAGAAATAAGGTCAGAAATCTGAAGCCACTCCTCATCACCACAAGGGGGCAATGTTTGACCACAAGCAATACTTGGCAAGGCCAACCGTTTCTTTCTTTTTAGAACACCATGCTGAGAGAGGTCTGCAGCCTGGGTGAGGGGGTGGGCTGGTTGCCTCCGCCTTCCCACCGAGTTCTCTAGAGGGGGCTGGCGCCACCTTTCCTCATAATAGCAGCATGGCTGTCAGGAGACCAGGCCAGAGAAAACAGAGCAGGAGAGGAAGCAGGGCAGCTGGTCTTCCCACAGTGGTCAGACGTGCCCAGCTGTCAGTCACATTCCCAGGAGTGCCCATGGGAGAGCTGGAGGGGGAGGTGTGGCAGGGCAGGAATTCTCACTTTAGGATGCATGAGAATCACCTGCATGGCTTATTTCAAATTGACGGTAGGGTCCCAGTCCATTCAGGGTTAAGCAGCTCCAGCAGTGCATTTCAAGTCAGTTCCTTGATGGCATCAAATGTCCTGTTTCTGGCTCTGGGCTGCGCTCCCTTTCTCATCATTTCCCATTTGCTCTGTCCTACCACCCATCTACTACTTTATTCTCCCCCATCCCTCCTCTCCCACTATTGCCAAATTGATTCCCAAAGGGCCCTGCAGGGTCAAGTACAACTGTTTTATAGGGTTTCTGAGGTTGTAAATCTTTAGGGAAACAGACTGCCTCATCATTCTCCCATGGAGCACCGGGCGGTTCCAGCGGCCTCGGTTAACAGCCACTGCCTAACCCACTGTGCCACCAAGGCTCGGAATGCCTCTTCTAGCCTTCAAATAAAAGAAAAAGGAAAGGGTAAGGCAGAAAACAAGGATGGACACTAGATTTGTCTTAAGGATTCCTTTAAGCAAGGATTCCAGCTCTAGCCAAGTTGATGGGTGTCTCAGAAGCATAATTTATTCTAAATACATACATGCTGCTTCTCCTCTTCACAGAAATGTGGGGGAGATAACAGTGCGGGGGTGGGGTGGGGGGAGGTGGATAGTTCAATAAAGCATTAACAGATACGGTTCTTAGATTTCATAAAAATTGAGTGAAAATATGAAGAGACTTCAAAAGGTTCATGGAATTTTCCCACGAGTTTTGAAGCCCCTACACAATAAATACATCCACTACGTTAGAATATTTCCTCAGTACTGCTCCTATACTACTGTTGGCTCCTTCTTTTTCAGTTAATAAAACACTGGTGACAGATGGAACTACCTCTGTACATGTAGGCCTTCTTACATAAATGCGATGGGGTTTATTGTACAGAAAGGTTGGAGAAATGGTTTCCAGAAAAGAATTAGAGACACAAATCCCCTCAGCAGCCCTGCCAAGGATCCGCTCGATTTTTCCGCATCAAGAAGTTGATCTTTCGCGTCATTTCCATATTGTAGATCCTCCGGCAGGTTTCGTAGCTTTCCCGCTGTCTCCTGCGGCATGGCTTCTCATAATACCGCCTTCGCTTAATGTCCTCAATGAGTCCGTCCATGGTGAGGATTCTGTATCAAAGCAATCAAGAGTCGGAAATTTAGGCTCACTATTCTTCTTTTCCAGTGTCACAGACAGAATCAACTGACCAACTGATGTTTGTAGAAAGTACAGTGGGAAATGGCAGCTATGGCAGTAGCTCCGATCGTGGTTAACAGTTGATGGCGCTGATAACTCTCAGCCTGCATCACATCACTTGTGAAACAGGAGCATGACACCCAGCCTCACCCAGCAGCTTTCTATGTATCACATGCTTCAACCCGAATACCTGGCTGGCTATTCCCTGAACAGTTTATTATACTGTATAGTTATTTCATTCTGTCATTCTTTATTTATACAAAGGCCTCCCTCATTAGACAGAAAACTCTGATGGTAAAAATCATGTTTGAAATATTAATTTTAGGAGAGAAAATGTTTTGAGAAACGATGTACAAATGCGCTTTACACAAGTGATGTGTGTATGGATTGGGATAACAGTTGTATGAGCCCCTAATAAAATGTTAAAAAAAAAAAAAGAAAAAAGAAATATTAATTTTATAACTGTGTACAAAATTGAGCTCAATCTCTCTTTCCTGCTCATCTAATTCTTTGTGATCTGATCTTTCTTATTGGACTTATACCCTCATCTCAAACTATGCTCACTGAGCCAAGACACAGGATCTTATTCTTTAACCAATCCAATCCTAAGGTGCCCGACCGAGAGCTCTCTTTCTCAGCCGCTTATCAGGTCCGGAAGCACCTTCTACTTCTGTTCCCCATTCCTGTTTACATAAATGACCCCGTTCCTTTTTATTATATGCAAAAAGTCACAAACACACTTGGAGGTAGGGAGGTTGAGACTTGACTATTATAAGTGGATGAAAAGGAGCAGAGGAAGTGAAAATTCACCCGCTACTTCTGCTCAGTTGGAAATCCTATTTACTGCTCTTCTGTTACCCGCCCCCACCCCCCAAAGCCCAAGATAACAACAGATAGAATACAAACTTGAAAAGAATTGGGCCTTGAGGAAATTACGAGTGTGAACAGACATAGAAACTGCTGTCCTCTCCAGGCTCTGCTGTTTAGTATCAAGGATGATTTGTAGGCTACTAGAACCCTATTTGTACAGATTGGTCTAGGTTTTAGAGAGGAGATGAGACAAGGGAATTGCTGCGAACACCCAGATGCAGATTCTGCTAGAAACGCACTCATGTCCAGAAGTCATGTGGGTCTAACACTACAGTCTTATAATAGAAAAGTGGAGTACAGAAGACCAAATGATCAGTATGTTGGGCCACAAAGGGTCTCCACTGGCTTCTTCAGTTTACCCTTAAATGTTGGTATCCCTACAGGTTCTGCAATGAATTTCCTCCTTCCTGGATTTACAAGATTCGTTAATGCTATACCCGTAGATCTCAACCCTGAAGCCTAATAGAATCATCTACTAAATGGTGTTGGGTTTTAAAAGGTACTATCTAAGCTCAATCTCTCAGAGATTTTTATTTCATTGGTCTGGGATGGGGTTATGCACTGCAAACTTTAAAAAAATTGTCCAAGCAATTCTAATGTATAGCCATGGCTGAGAACTAACTTCGAATCTTCATCTCTAGTCCAAACTTTATCCTAGAGCTTGACTTACTATCTCACACCCCAAACAAAACCAAATGTGTTGTCTCCTACAAACATCAATTCTTCCCAGGTGGCCTGTTACTCGCATCATCAGTTACTCACAATAAAAATACCAGCATGTTTCTGGAAGAGGCCTTCTCCTAGACTTGCTACATCGACAGTTAGCACATCCTATAAACGCTACATCTGAAGCAGCTCTTGGAGCTCTTCTTTCTCTCCATTCCTACAGCTACGGCTGTAAATGTGGTCCTTGTCATCTAAAACCAAACCCACTGAGTCAATTCCAGTTTACAGCGAGCCACTATGAGGGTTTGTAACTGCATAGATCACTGCAGTACACAGACTTCTCTTCCTCCCTCAGGAGCAGCTAGAGTTTGACCCTTGTGGCATCATCAAGGCTTCCGCCTCATCATCTAGAGCCTGGATTATTGCAATAATCATTCATGGATAAATATTTATGGGATTCCAACTCTGTATCAGACACTGTGTGTAATAGTCTGGGTACTTTGGAGAAACAAATGCACAGCAACTCATGGATAAGAGAGAGTTTTATGTAAAGAAAAGGTGCATCACGAAGACATCCCAACCCAATGCTGCCCAAGCTCACAAGTCCAACATTTATCCATTAATTAACCCAACACCAGTCCACAAAGTCCTCCACCTCACAAAACAGAGGCAATGATGCCGACTGCAGGAGGAAAGCTGAGTCAGTGAACGAACAAGCATCTCAGCACTAGCAGGGGTCTCCACACGGCTGCTCCAGCACCCAGGGCTGCATCGGGATAGGTCCATGTGGCTTCTCCTTGGGGATGTCTTGTAGGAAGTCAGTCTTGCAAGCTGAAGCAGGGAACTGCTAAGGCAGCTGCACCCGGTGCAACCATCACAAAACAAGAGACCCGAGAACTAGCAAGGCGAGGCTCACCACCCATTTATCCCTCCGCCTTTCAATTAGCCCCACATGTGATTATCGGCCAGGCTGGCACAATTAACTAACTCACTGTGTTAATGAGTGCTGGGGATAGAAAACAAACTTAGACATGGTTCTTGCCCTTGCAGTTTTAGAATGAGAAATAATGCACTTAAAGAATGAGAAAATGGTTATGAAAGTTTCTTAAAGGACAACACATTTTTAGGCTGCTTTATTTCTGTTCTCTTGTCCTACACCAAGGAGACCTGGTCGTGCAGTAATCAAGGTTCTCAGCTATTACCCCAAAGGTTGGCTGTTTAAGTCTCTTAGCCATTCCACAGGAGAAAGATGAGGCAGTAGGCTTCGGTAAAGATTTACAGCCTTGGAAACCCTGTGGGACAGTTCTACTCTCCTAGAGGGTCGGAATCAACTAAAAGGCAGTGAACTTGGGGTTTCCCCTACACCAATTCTAGTCCTGTAAGACGAATCAGATGATGTCACTTTGATGCAAACACACAAACACAAACACACAAACCCTTTCCCAACATACGGAACAGTCACACCCTAGAGAGAATGAAGTCACAATGGGAGAGAGAGGAGGGCATCTCTTTGGTTGGCCTTGTTTTTCAGTTGCTCAGGTGATTCTAATGCGTAGATGAGCTTGAGAGCTATTGGTATTGATTCAAAGCCTGAAACTGAGCCTCACCTTTATCTTTAATAACTCTGAACCATAAAATTTGTATGCTAATCACTGACCTCCCTCCATTTTCCCTAACACGCTACATCTTTGCTTACACTATTCATTTTGCTTGGCATAGCATTCTTTTCCTCTGCTTTATGAGATCTTATTTATCCCTCAATTGTTACCACCTCTGTGAACTACTTGAAATCAATCATGCCTCCTTTCAGTTCCCAAAGGACACTGGTTCTCAAACTAGCCCACAACAGCCATTGGAAAGCTTGTGATTGACTCTGGTCAGTAGGTCTGGAGTGGTCCCAAGAATTTGCATTTTTAATGATTTCCCAGGGATGTGGCTGCTAGTGGTGCAGAGAAAGTTGCCTGGCACATTGGAGGGACACAGCACACCTTCCATGTCTCTTGTACAGCACAGATCACACAGTGTTATATGTGCCCAAAAGATTCCTGAAAGAAAGAGGTGCCAAGATTGTGTAGATAATTTGAAAGGAGCAGAAACTGGTTATCAGGAAGCAAAAGGAGATCCTGGACATAACACCACTTGGGATGATGCCCCTATTAGAATGGCAGTCAGTTTAAAAGCAGGAGGAACAAAAACTGCAACTGGATGAGTTTAGGTAACAAATGTTTCAAAAGCGTTTAAACCAAACAAGCAAGCTAGACTCAAAATGGAAAGTATTCTGCTGTATGTTCCAAATCAGCACTTTTAGGGGTGACAGATGTCCCGAACCAGTAGAATTCCAAAAGTATTTTCACTAGAAATATGGGCAGACCAAACAATATATATATTTCCAAACAATGTTCTTAACTGCCTACCAGTACCAGATTTTGTGGAAGAGGCTTTGAGCCATTTTCTGTTTTGTTAAGTCTCTCTCACATGCTGCCAGCAAGTTTTAAAGTGTAATTTATAAAAACAACCTACAAAGGTTAGTGCTGGATTAAGTGGCCTTTAATATCTAGAAGACATTTTGGACCAAGAAGCAGTTACTGACCAAAGTTAGCGTATATCATGTGAAGTTTTTCCGTAAACAAAAACAAGGGTGTAATATGAAAGCTGCTATTGTGAAAGCACATTCCATGTATGTTAATGAATTTAAAGTAATAAACTGAGGCAAACAAGGTCTTATTTATAGAACAACAAACTCACTGTAAATATCTGTATGTTAGTTTGTTCACCTACGATCTGAGATCATGCTGAAGTGATAAAAAATACTGCTTCGCCCTGGGGGGAAAATAAGGAGCTAAAATAATTTTTAATCAGGTGATCATCTGACAAAGTACCTGGGTTGTGAAATAAAGGCAAGGAAAGAAAAAAAATAGCAAAAGAATGTTAAGGGTGGAGGAGGAGAAAGAATCTCAAGATTAGCGGCTTCCAGCATAAGAATGGAGTTGGTAAATGGGATTCCCTAGAAACTACTTCCCCACATAGAGCACATCAATTCCCAGGTGCTGAGTGAGGGTTTTCTCTCCCCCTGGAGCCCTTAGTCAGCCTCAGAGGGTATAATAGATCACACTAATGATGCTCCAGGATATCTGCAGTGAAATCATCCACTCAACACCATCTTCAACAGAAAAGGATGCAGGAGAGAGCTTTGTAGAATTCACAAAGAAAATCTGAAGGGCGTTATTAATGCTTCCACTTCCAAGGGTGGTTCAAGGGCTAGCAAACCAAAAGCTTTAGAGTAAACATAGCAGGCTGGAATTCGGGTGCCTAGCAACTTTATGCTGAAGGAGAAACCAACTGCCAGTGTTCATGCAATTCATCGAATTATGTAAAAGAAGCCCAAGCTGCCAGGGGA